GGGATGGGGGAGGAATCGCCTCAAGCACTCTTTTCCTCTTCCTTACATATGCAAACTATCCACCCCAGGGTGGGTGTAGCTCTCACACCCATCAAACTCTAAAAGCCTGCCCCATGGCCGCTTGAGGCTTTGGGGGGGGACACACAGACTCAAACCATAACATGGAGAAATGACCCCCGCTCTGTAATGACAGAGGCCACGGTGCAGCGGTGGGGTCTCAGTGCTCTGGGGACAGCTTTACCTCCCTTTGCTCTTGTCTTCTCCCTCTTCAATCCCAGCACCCCTCGGGGCTGCAGAAAGCTACTGCAGGAAGTGCTTTCACTCATCCCGGTCACCAGTGACAGCCATGCGAGAGACACATGACATCCATGAACACTACTCGTAACAAGGCAAAGTAGCAACAGCCAAGTCCCCGAGAGTCCCTCTGAAGGTGGCCGTGGAGCTGGCCTGGGGTGGGGCCTGCCAGACACCTGCCTGGAGCCCTGAGCCCACTGGCCCAGCAAACCAAACTCAGGAACGTAGAACCCCACACAGAGGAGGCAAGACACAAAATCTCTGCAGCACAAAGCAGCTTAGCTCCCTGGCGGAGGACTGGCTGGGGAAGCCCAGGGAGTGGGCAGGGGCCGGCTTCCCCGGCTCGAGTGAGCACAAAACTGCCACCTGCTATGGAGCCTTAGGAAGATCCCAGGGGACCAAGCAAAGGTGCACAGGTGAGATCCCTGACTTCGGAGGGCCACCATCTCCACGGGGACAAAGAGCAGAGCTACAGCCTGGGAGCAAACTGGGTCTGAGGCGAGTGCCAACCCTTAGAAGAAGGTGTCAGGTGAGGCAGGCTCAGCCTCTGCCCTGGGGATCTCCAAGAGGGACAGAAATGGTGGTCCCAGGCTGGAAGGGTCAGACAGGGACTCGTGCTCCAGCAGGAAACACCAGGGCGCTCCACGCACACCTCAGAAGCTGGAAGGCATACTGTGAGGTGGGGGTACGTGGTGTCGGAGCCGGGAGGCTGGGGCTCACAACGCAGCAGCTGAGAGGAGGGAGGTACAGGTTTGTAAGATGGTGCCTGAAGCTCTTCTTTGCTGCCCGACTTGGAGCTCCCCAGCTCTATTCCCACAGCCGTGGCAGAACAGGGACTTCCCTAAAGAACCCTGCCACAGGGCTGGCCTCTCACTGGCCCTGTCAGCCTGGGAACAACCACGCCCTTCAGGCTTGAAGGCCATCCCGGCCTTGGTTGCCCCTCTCACTCCCCGGGCCCCAGCCACTCACCCAACATGTCCATCCTCTGCTTCTCCCTGCTGCTGGATTCTGCTCAATTCTGGGCCTACAGGGTGCACCCCACTTCCCATAGCAACTGCCCTGTGCACGCCTTGTCTGCATCCCCCGCCCCCACTCCCATTTTACAGCTGCTCTGGCGCTGAGCCTGCCAGGGCGTGCTCCACACAGTCCGGCAGGAAGTGCGTGTCCGAATGTGACAGGACCTCTGGAAAGCCAGGAGAGCAGCCTGCCCTGCCGAGGGCCACACTGCACCGCCGCCAAGACGGGCAAAGCCTCAGTACCTGTCCTGCAGCTGGACACGGTGGCCCCAGTTCAAGGACTTCACATGGTTTTGCACAGCCTCTGCCATTTTCTTCCTGTTGACATACAAACCAAAATGTAAAAGCCACAACAGTGATAGCTGTAGAGATTTACAATACACGACAGATGCAAGTGGTGTCTTTACAGAAATACTGAGAAAGAGAAGTATGCTTAAAGGGGTACAATGTAGCTGGGTGTGGTGGCACACACTTGTAATCCCAGCATTCGGGAGGCTGAGGCAGGAGGATCCTTGCGAGTTCAAGGCCAGTGAGTTCAAGGCTACAAAGTGAGCTCTAGGCCAGCCTGACCTGCATAGTGAGACCTTGTCTCAAAAAGACTAACTAACTGACTAAAAATAAATAAATAAACAAATAAATAAAGGGGTACAATGTGATACCCATCCCCATGGGCTGTCACCACCTCTGACCAGGGTTTGGGGCCGTGGACCTCGGCACTCAGGAAATGGAGCCTTTGGCCTACAACCACTCAGACTTAGCGGCTTGTGTCCACAAGGTCACAGCCTGTCTGCAAACTGAGCCACCTGTGCATGGGCTCTGAGCAGAGTCATATGTCATCACCTGCATCAGTCTCCTTCTCAAAAAAGCTTAATCAAGCAACTTTCTGCCCTAAACATTGCCTTTGGGCCAGATGGTGCTTGGCAGGGCTGGCCTACGCACTCACCGTAAGATGTTCAGCAGCATCCCTGGGTTCTACTCAGAAGATGTAGCAAATGCTTCCCCCTCCCCCCACCCCAGTGACAACCAAAAGTGTCTCCATACATTGCCAAGTGTCGGGAGGTGCAGGCATAGAGCATCGCTCAGTTGCGAGCCCCTGTCTTACAGCTGTTCCGGGTCACAGTTAGTAGACAATAAATCTCCTCCTCTACCCAAGGATACCAGAAAAGAACCAGAACCCTGGTGGCATGGGCTTCTCACCAGTCATGCTGGATGGGCTGGGCCACCTCCCAGCCATAGTGGTGGGCGTCCTGGATCATGTGCCCCAGCAGCGCAGCATAATGCATCAGCTTCTTGGGGATGCAGCCCACGTTGACACAGGTGCCACCGAGGCCCCATTTTGTGCCTGGATATTGAAAAGAGCGCATTTTTCTGTTCTTTGCAGTTCCGGGGATTGAACCTGCAGCCTTACATACGTCAGGCAAGGCTCCACCACCGAGCGGCAACCGAGCCCTGGAAAGTCGCGTTTGAATTCATATTCGGGGAATACAAGAGGCTTCCTGTTCTCTTCCCAGGCTTAGAGGGCCTTCACAGTGTGGGCAGGCGGCAACTCACACAGGGCCCAGGGGAGTCTCCCATAGGAATTTGCTCTCCAAAACTAGAGAGTCATTTTACAACAATAAAGAAATGACAGTATAAAGTCCTAAAAGTTTACAAATTAAGTAGGACACTCAGGAGACTGAACAGAGGGGGACAGATGATTTTGCTGTCAGTACTATCTGCATGGAAACTGGGTCGCCCTCCCCCGGCCCCTCCACTGCAGGACACAGAGTAGCCACTGGGTGCTGCTTACCTCGGGGAGAAGGCTCCACGTAGTCAACCACGGCCACCTTCCTTCCCAGCTGAGCAGCTGGAACGACAAGGAAAGCTACAGGTGAGGACAGCAGGACGCTGGCGCAGTTGGGGCTGGGGAATGGGATTTCCAGGGCCTATGAGGCCCAGAGGATGAGAAGGGGCCTGGCCAGCGGCCATCCACACAGCGGCCAAGCTAGTGACTTCCCATGTGCCTGGCTTCCTGGCCCATGAGGCCATGCTACCCGCTAGCTCTGCACCCAGCTCTTGGCCTCCCCACTACCCAGTCAGCTGTGCTGCTCACAGGCAGGAATCCTCAGGCCTCCTCAGACTGCAGCCTTCATGCCAGCCGTCACAGCAGCACTGGGACCAATCCCCTGCAGCTCCTGCCCCACCTACTTCCAGGCCCAGATGTTCAGCACAGGGCCCGTGCCCATCCCAAGAATGCAGAGAGGTGTCCCAGGAGCAGCCCACACCTGGGAGAGGCCCCCTGGTCTCCAGACCACTGGAAGGCCCAGGCCCCTCTCACTGGCCCTGCCTCCCCTCAGTGAGAAGAAATGGTGAGTACTTCATGGGGCCTCTGCCCACAGTCCAGGTGGGCATTTGCTGCTGCCCTTTCAAGGTGAAGGAAACAATGCTCAGGAGAAGTGAAACAGCAGGTCCAGAGTCCACCTGCCCCCTGTCCAAACCATATTCCCTATCATGAAGGTACTTCCCAGCATGAGCGGGGCCACCCACAGCCACAGGTCCCAAGTTCTGAGACCAACTCTGACACTATTACCCAGGGCCTGAAGCCAGGTGTGGAGGCGCACGCCTGTAATCCCAACACTCGGGAGGCTGAGGCAGGAGGATCATCACGAGTTCAAGACCAGCCTGGGCTACAAAGTGAGCTGAAGGCCAGCCTGAACTGCATCGCGAGACCCTGTCTCAAAAAAACAAAAACAAAAACAAAAACACTATTACCCAGGGCCCAAAGCAGAGTTTCCCTCCAGCTCACCTTGGCACTGTGTCGGCAATCCCTAGACCCTGGACTTGACCACCTGCAAAAGCATGTTGGGCTTAAGCCTCATGGATTCCTAAGTGTTTGAAACATTACAGACTATGGAAGATTCATGGCTGTCAGAAAGCAAGACTAGAACAAAGTTGTACAAGAGTTCATCTAAAAACCTACTTGGCAGCTGGGTGTGGCAGCACATGCCTGTAATTCCTCCCGGGAGGCTGAGGCAGGAGGATTGCCACGAGTTCAAGGTCAGCCTAGACAACATAGTGAGCTGAAGGCCAGCCTGGACTACATAGCAAGACCCCCCCTCTCAAAAACAAACAAACAGCTCTCTCTCTCGCTCTCACTGCTTTTGCTGTCTTCTGCCACCATGATGAACTGTTTCTCCTCTGCAACGCCTGTCTGGCATGTCTCCCTGCCTTGGACCCAGCCGGTATGGACTGAAACCTTTACAAACTGTGAGCTAAAGAAACCTTTCCTCTTTAAAACAAACAAACAAAAAACCCTACTTGGCTCAAATGATTAATAATGGGATTCTAGTGAAGTGGAGGAGCCACCGCAGGAGGACCATGAATTTCACAACAGCTTGAGCAATGTAACAAGACTTTGTCTCAAAATTTAAAAAAAAAAGAAAGGATTCCCACGCTCAAGCTCAGGCTGAGGAGAGCTGTCAGAACGCCAAGCCCGAATGCCCATGTCTGACCACGACTGAGCAAAAGAATTACCCTCCTACCTGAAGCAACCAAGTGATTCCTGTTTCAAAATAAATAAGTAAAAAATATCAGTGGACAATTTGACAAGTTTTGACGTCTGTTTACCTGGAAAACCAGTGCCACACATTCCTACTTACATTTTTTACTTATTTATTTTGAAACAGGACTCACTATATTACCCAGGCTGGTCCCAAACTCCAGGACTCAAGTGATTCTTCTGAGTAGCTGGGACTATAGGTACATACCACTGTACCCAACTTCAAGTTTTTTTGATTTAAATATGTAGTTTACTTAACATCAATTATATCGCAACAAAGCTATTATTAAAAAAAAAAAAACCAGTACAGTCAGGCAGAGTGGCACATGTATCTAGTCCTAAGTCTGAGGCCAGCCTGGGCTACAAAGTGAGCTCAAGGCCAGCCTGGCATGCACAGTGAAACCTTGTCTCAAAAAAGACAAAACAAAAAAAAAACTACTACGGCAGATAGTGCCAAAGGGACACCACTGGGACATGTGGCCATTCTCCACACCTGTGCTGTCCATTTCCAGGCACAGCTCTGAGGACCGAGTGGGGTGCTGACCCCATGTCTCCGTGCTGATGCCATTCAGCTTGGGGACTTCCCCCCAGTCCCTCCAAGCAAGCTGTGGAGAGTGCATTTCCTTGATACCATCTATGATTCTAAAATCCAGGACTTGATGTTAGAAAGCCACCATTTCATCATTAAAGCACTTAGTCAACGCCCTCTCATTTGGGCCCCACCTCACCCCTATCTAACTCACCTCCCCATTCACCCACACTTGCCTTCTTAGCATCTCCAGGCACAGCCCAAGGAGACCACAGGGAACCCTTACACAGAGTTCTAAAGATGTGCTTCAGGGTTATCAATGAACTGCAAGGTCAGGCCTCCAGATGCATCTGGACCCAGCCTGTTCACCCACCATGACCTGCTGAACACCCACTGAGTCCCAGGCTGAGACCCAGACATGACCTGCAGAACCAACTGTAATCCTGCAGAAGGCACAAGCGCTAACAACAAGGACAGGAGAGCCGGTGACAAAGATTGGGCAGCAGAAGGGTGCAGTTCTAAGTAGGGCCATCTTGGCAGCAAGGACTGGAAGGAGCTGAGACAATTCCACCACTAACCTGGCAGGCAGGCAGGCAGGCAGGCAAACCAGACAGGGCAGGTGACCAAGGTGAGGTGAAGGACAGGAGCTCACAGAAGTGTATGCAGAACAACAAGGAGACTGGGGAGACCATGGGGAAGCTGAGATTGGAAGTTGGGGGCAGATCCTGTGAGACCTGGGGGCTTCTGCTATGAGCGAAGACTGTGCTCTGAACCGAAGCACTGCTGTGGCCTCTCATCAGGCCACCGTGGGAAGCAGGACAGCAAGGGGGCTGCTGGGACAACCCTAGCGGGGCAGCTGCCAAGGGAATGCATTCTGCTCACAGACACTCAGACCCATCCCCACACAACTGCCTTCTCCAGGAGGCCCTGCCATGCAAGTAGGGACACCGGACTCAAGATACGTACCTTCTTTGGCACAAGCCAGGCCACCAGATCCTCCTCCAATTACCAGGAGATCGTAGTCCTGCTGTCCTGCTGGGGAAGAGATGAGCAGTGAGGCGGAAAGGAGCCAGACCCAGCGTGTCCTCCGCCACCTCCAAAGGGCAAGAAGCTCCGTCTGGTCAAACATGGTATGGGATCTATTTTCTCAGGAAGGGAGACCCTGCAGAAAGTAACTCCATACAGATCTGCAAAATCCAAAATCCAAGCAGCGTGTACCAAGGTTGTCTGCTGAGCATGTTACCTACCACCTTTGCAAACTGCACTCCTCCCCCATACCCAGCAGGACTTCTCAGAACTTGAAACTTCAGAGTTCTGAGCCAGGCACAGAACGAAAAATGTTTTCCTCGAGTGCATGCTCCCTTCAGTCATAAAGGTGACCCTCTGTTACAGTAAATAAGAACAGTGTAGTCCCTGCCACATGAAAGCCATGTGTTTCAGGGTGCGGGGCTGCACAGTAAGATCTGGGAGGGAAGGGATGCTGGGCACAGGGCTGCCTCGGGTTCGCCTGAGGAAGCTCACATCCTCCCTGCTTACCCACAGTGGCGCAGTGGGCTGCCAGAGCCCTTCTCCCCCGCAGGAGGCATCATATGCTTACTCTGCAAGCTACTCCTTGGAAAGCAAACAAGGAACAGCCCCAAGCGGGTGGGGTGGAGATGGCAGGTTGAAGAGAAACAGAGTGGAGAGGGGAAGAGGGGGGTTAAGTGCTCTGAACCGAGCCGGTTGGGGACACAAAGCACCAAGGACCAGGCTACTCTTTCATCAAGGAAGAAATGATAGAAGTAATAGAAAATGAACAGTCATGGGAATAAGAGAAGGTTAAGGACTGGTAACAAGGGCCTAGGGTATAAACTAGCAGTGTTGTCAGTCTCTCTGTAGACATGAACCGGCTGAAAATGCCATTCTCCCAGGGTATCTGGACCTGGCCACTGCTCCAAAGCAAGGCCCAGGGGTCTTGTGACAAAACCAGGCCTGCCACCTATGGCTGGGGCATCTTCACCCACCAGCATTAAAGCCTAGTATTTATTGTGAGAAAGATGCACCTATCTTTGCAGCCACCTCACCCTTCCTGGCCTGGCAGGAAGTCAAGGCCCACCCTTCCTGGCCTGGCAAGGACACAGAGTACACTGGAGCACCCATGCTCCTCAGTAGCACTGGCTGCTCAGACAGGGCCTGTGAACCACGGGAATTCAGACCTAGAGCCCAAAAAAGGTCCGCGGCTTGCAGCTGGCTGACCTCACAGTTGGACTCACCCTAAGTTCTATCGAGCAGCTGGCATTTGTACATGCATACAGGAAAGGATGGAGTCACAGCCAATCCAAAGCACACCCAATTCTATGTTCAACTCAAGGACTGTGAAAAGGCCTAACTGATGGCTTTGGGGGTCCAGGGAACCAACGATGACTGGTAGCAGAAGTTGCCACTGGAAGCACAAACCTACTAGTCAAGGCCCACCTCTCTCCTTTCCTGCTGCCTGGCAGTAGGCAGGGGCCTCAAAGCTTTGCCGCAGCAAAGGTTCCTACCTTCCATTGTAGAAGCCTGTCTTTTCTGTCACCACAGAAGGGTTCCCACTGGGCCGTTTTGTCCTGCAGTCCTGCACCGTGCCTACTCTGCCTGCCACCAGGCAACAGGCAGGCTGGCTGCCATGGACTGCAGGCTTATCTTGGGCTAGCTGCCCTCCTCCAGGCACACCCAGAGCCCTCTCAGTCTGATAAGCCATTCGAACAGACCCACAGTAGAGCAGTTGCAAGTACATCTACTTTTTGGCTCTTGGGAAGGTTTGGAGCTGCTGAAGCTAGGGGCAGACCCTAAAGGTGGGTGAGGTAGATGTTGCTCTGCAGAAGGACCAGGCAGCAGGTGTTACTTGGGAGAAACCCTCACATCCTGACCCTTGCCCACTTCAGTCAGTCCTGCTCTCCCTGGCCACAGGGTCTCAGAATGTGTCTCTGTTTTGCTTTTGCCTTCTGACCACACTGTCCTTTAATTTTCTTCTCCTCTCTGAATCCCGTGCCCAGTGCAGAGTCAGCAAACAGCAGCCGGGGAAGTGTGATGAAGGTTAGGATGGCTTCCTGTAAGACACATCAACAGGCAGGCTGGCCATTGAGGACAGCTACCTCCAGGAGCCTCTGGTGCAGCTGTTATCCTTTCCTTGAGCTCTTGCCTGAAAGGAGGTGTCAGGAGACAGATAATCCCAGTAGTGTTGCCATTCTAGTTCTGAACTAGGGGCAGCACCACCCACCCCAAGCTCAAAAGGGCAGATGTCTTCCTGCTCCAAAAGAAGCTGTGAGGCTGAAGTGAAGGAGACTCCTACTGGGACTTGGGCGTCTACTTTGGGGCTGACACCTTTGGGGCTGACACCTTTGTCAGCTCATCACCCAGGCAAAGCTCTAGCCCTCAAGGTTTCCCTTGCTGCCAGCACTCCATAGGCTTTGGGTCAAAATCCTCCAGGTGGCAGTGCCTCTTGCCAGGCTGGAAAGAAATGCTCTTCCCTTAGGTCGGTTACCTAAGGGGGCGTTAGCTTGTAATCACACCTGCAGCTCTTATTTACTGCCACCAGGTGGAGCAATGACTCCACTGGCACAGATTAATTTATTTTGGTGTTCGGTTTTTTCCCACAGGTACATATTAAGAGTAACCATGCCCACATCGATGCAATAAGGAGATTCTGAGACGGGGTGCCCTGGCCAGGGTCCCAGGGCTCAGCAAAGCCACTACAAGATCAGCCCTCGATTTCCACCTCCTGGGGCTCTCTGCAAGGCCATCCTCACCGTCAGGGTTCCCAAAGCCTTTGCCCATTTATACTCTGTCAGGCCGCCCTTCCCTCCAAAGTTCACAGCTGGCCAAGGGCCAGGCACTTTGTCTCTCGTGATCACCATCTCTGTGAAATCCTGACTGCCCTTGCTCACATACCTCCACATTCACTTTTTGCTTGAAGAGTGGTGCACTATAACTTACACCCAGGGGCCAGGGTCGGGGCTGGCTGCTACAGGCAGAGGAAAGGGACTGGCCACACCACGGGAAGCTACTAAGCAGGGTTTGGTATGAACCTTCTGAATGATCCGAAGCCTGGCCTCTGCTGCTCGGATCACTTGACGTTATTAATGATTATCCTGATTTGGTCAATGGCCTGTTGTGGCTGAGAAACAAATGTATCTTCCCCTTCCCCAGGGTACCCACAGAGTCCCACATGTACTGCGTGCTTAGGTCCCCTAGATTTCCTCTGGTCGACTCGTTCATTCCCTACCTGTGCAAGTCCAAGTAAGGAGCACTTGCTTTGTGCAGCCACAAGGAATTTATGGAGGAGGTGCCTGGGGACCTCAGAAGCTCAGACATCATCCTGGTCGGGAATACAGTTAATACTAGGTTTTGGGGTCACGAACTCCTAAAGACTGCACGTGCAGCCTGTAATTTGTACTGACAGGAGAACCTAAGGCAAGAACTGCCCCTCAGCCTCAGTTTCTTTATCTGAGAAAGGGGCTACCTGACTAGAAGCAAGTCTAATACCTACCCAAGACAACCATGCGAAGACACGTGTGCAGGGTCACTCTCCGCACGGGCAACCGGCCCGATTCGCGGGGACACCCCCACGTGGACACCCCCGTAGGGAAACCCCCGCCCCCAGGCCGCGCGGACAACCCACGTGGACACTCTCTCCAGGCTGCGCGGATACCCCCGTGGGGACTCCGTCACCCCGAAACCCACCCTACCTGCCGCGCCTCCCGCCGCGCCCCGCACCCCGCCTGCCGAGGCCCAAATCCGCCACCGGAAGCGCCTTCCGGGTCTTGGCAGAGCCCTTGCCATCGCCGCCATAGCTGCGGGGCCTCTGAGCGGCCGGGGCTGCCCGCCGCGCTGCCTGCTCCGCCGCGGACGCGTCTTCCAGGGCGAGTCCCTCGGTCGGATGAAAGGTGAGTGCGCCCGCTGGCGGCTGCGGGCGAGGCATTCATTCGGCCCCGGGTGAAGAGGGTCTGACCTTGGGCACCCGACCTTAGAACCCTACGGGCATCTTCCCTGGGCTGGGGAATTTGGGCCGGCACGAAGGGATCCGACCTCCAGGCGGGGCTGGGGTCTCCCCATATGGGCTGGAGGGTCGAACCGAGGATGAGGAGTTCAGGGTGGGAGTCGTGCATCTGGACAGTTGTGAAGAGGTCTTACCTGGAGTAGGGGGAATGTCTCTGGACGAGGGAAGATCACTGGACTTCTTTTGGGGAGGGGATTGAAGATCTGTGCTGGAATGGGGCGGGGGGCGGTCAATACAAGGGTGGGAGATCCGGCCTCCTGCGGCGCTGCCAGTCCAGACCTGGAGGGTTGGCATATCCCTAGAGTAGGACCTGGCGAGGGTGTGGGCTGACCCATGGCTGGGTCCCACTTGGGTCTTGGGCTGGAATTAGAGCTTTAAAAGTTGCAGGAGTCTGGGAGAGAGAGGATCAGTGGTGCCCCGGTGCAGAGGGCTTCGGTGACCTCCTCAACAGGTTTACTTTTGGAGGCCTTGAGGTGTACCCCCGGGCCTTTTCTTTATACAAAATGGCTGCCTCATCAGGACGGGGCCATCTGGGGCCCAGGACCCTCGTTTAGTCTGGGTGATATGCAGAAGCCTCACCCCCACACGGGAATGACAGAGAAGGAGAGGGAGTCACCCCAGTCCCCTCCTAACAGAGAGCGTTTGAGCTTTTTGCAGCCAGGGATTTTGGTGTCCTGTTGCTTTTTATTGCGAAATAATGTCCTCCACACCCGGGGCACAATAGGACCTGACTGAATACCAGGCGGGCCCAGGAAGGAGGGCGCCATGTCACAGAGAAACGCAGCTAGACATAGGGTGAGGCGGAAAAAACAGATTTTACTTAGCAACTGCTGACAGTAGGGGAAAGAGCTGAGCTCCATTCCATTTTGTGCAGGGGGAATGAGTGTTTCAGAGGAATAAGGGAGTAAGAAGTAGAGGCAAGAAAATAAACAATTACAAAAATTAGGAAGAAGGGGCCCGGGATTTAGCTCATCAGCACAGTGCCTGCCTGGCAAGAGCAAGGTCGTGAGTTCGGTTCCTGGTACGGGAAAAAAACAAAAAAAACAAAAAACAAAAAAAAACAAAAAAAAAATTAGGGAGGGAGAGTTGGTCCATGGGAAACACCCGGGTTTACTTCTAGGGCTTATCTTCTCACAGAAGCAGGGAGTCAGGGGTCCTATCTTTAACTGTTGGCTGGAATAAACAGGTAATCTCTTTAGCACCTGGTACTAGAGGATGTGATCTTACGACCTTGGTCCAAGACTGGGCCAAATATTGCAAACACACACACACTTCTGCACAGGGAAAGCTTTTCTGGGGGAGAAAGAGGCTTCAGCCAAAGTGAGACTATGACTGAAAGGAGATAACAATCTAGACAGTGACCAAGCTGCTGGTCCTAGAACAAAGAGCAGATTTTTATTGATTTGTTGGAGAGGGCTGGAGTCTGGTGTTTTCTATTGGCCAGGGGCAGGGTTCCAAAAGATCTTTTTGTGAGGGACTTGGACCACTGGGTACTCACGGTAAACTTTTCCTTGAGGCTGTTGAATTTTTGAATAGTATTGTTGCTATTACCCTATGCAAAACATCTGGCTTTGTGGGTCTGAGCCCTATGATAGGGCCAGGGGCCAGGGACATAGCTCAGTGGCGCAAGAACCTGCCTGGCAAGCACAAGGTCCTGAGTTCGATTCCCGGTACCAAAAAAAAAGAAAGAAAGACCTATGATAGGGCCAAAGGACTTTAAGTGTTTAGGCTTTTGTAGTTTCTAAAGCAGCACAAAGAATAAGGGGAAGAAAAAGGGGGGCGGTGCAAAAACACACGTTGGCTCCAACAGGGCAAGCTGACCCTTGTTAAGTCTTGGACTAAACATTTTTAGCTGGGCGTGGTGGTGCACACCTGTAATCCCAGCACTTGGGAGGCTGAGGCAGGAGGATCATTGCGAGTTCGAGTCCAGCCTGGGCTAAAAGTGAGCTCAAGGCCAGCCTGAACTGCATAGCGAGACCTTGTCTCAAAAAGACAAAAAAAAAAAAAAGTCTTGGACTAAACATTTTTAGATGATCAAAATGTCTACATGCAGAGCTGGGTAGAATCTGACCCAAGGCTCAAGATGTAGCAAAGGAGAGACACACTATGAAGACAGAGACGTCAAAGCTTTTATCCCATTTTAGTCACCCATCAGATTTCTGTAGGCCTAAATAGATTTTTAGCGATAGTGGCTTTCAAGTCTCTGGGAAGTAATCCAATTCACTGTTACAATCAACAGCAAGAGGCAGAGACCAGCTGAGACCACCAGGCTGTGTAAAGGCAACGTGACATGGAATTTATTGTGCCTGGGTACAGACAGACAGAGGGCAAAAAGGCCATCTGGAGGGAGCAAAGAGAAGTGGGCTTTTTTATAGGGCTTGAAAGAAGGCAAGGGACATTAGGTGGGAAGATCTTAATAAACATCTGGCCACAGTTCTCTGGATGTTTCATGCCTCAGTGGGCAAAGTCCTCGGGGCATCCTGTGTGAGGTGCTTTAAGATGTCCAAGTGCTTGCAAGAGTCTGTGTTCCAGCTTATCTCTTTTATGACATCCTGTGTTTGCCGAGGGCACTGGTGCTGAGCTGAAAACAATACCTCCGCTGGCAGACAGGTTGGGTATGGGGGGAGTCATGTTGGAATGGAGCCTTACAGCTGTTATCATAACCCACACATCAGGTAATGTATTTCCTGGCTGTATGTCCTTCAGAAATACTGCTTTTAAGTTGACTAAGAGCACGTGAAGCTACAAGGCTTATTTAGGTTTTTCTTGATAAATGTCTCATTTTAAGCAAATGCCTATTGAAAGATGCCATTCTACTAAAGGTAGTAGTTTACTGTACCTAGGGGTTTATAGTATTTTGCTGTGCCAGCTTTCTGTCCCACCATAGTGGTCCCTAATTATCTCACAACTTTGATTTTTCTTAGGCAGGCATTTGGCCAGGGGGTAGGGATGGGGGTGCTGTTGGACCATCATAGGAATGTGACCTTGAAGTGTTAGAAACTATGTTTAAGTCTTTAGAAGGAGCCTGGTCAGATTTTGGTCAAGGAGAGTCTTATTAGTGATACTGTTGTTCAAGTCAAGACAAGACATTCTTCTTTCCTCTGAACAATAGAAGCCCATGAACTTTTATTCATGAAGGAATAAAAAGCTAAATTAGGATGAGGTTATTTGCTGCATGTACAAGTGATCTGGCATTTAATGAAGGATGTTTCTGTGAAACATTTGAAAAAAGGTTAATGGTTGGAACTGACTGTAAACCCACTTTTTGAGTCTTGTGGGTTCTAAATGGAGATCTCTAAATGTCAATGTCTAGGTGTCTTTTAGACAGTAGAATGAGGACAAAAGTAGCAAGCTGATGGGTTTCTGGGTTTTTGTCTGAATGTGCATGGTGATGGCAGCATAGATATCTCAGTCACTGTCATGGTTATTTCCTGGAGCACAGTAAGGAAAGTGTAGGAATTCTGCAGGACTTCCTGTGTGACCTCCTCAGGGCTGCTCCAAGTGTGAGGATTACCTGAAAGATCATTTGATATGGTGATCAGTTCTTTGAGGTTCATGTCAAGCTGTGTGGCTTCAACCTGCCACGTTCAGGACTATTTCTGATCAGATCTACAGCTAACCTGGCTCCCTTCCTCATGGAGGCAGCTGCTTACCTCTGCCATGGTTAGGGGTGTAGGTCACTGGCCTCACATATGTAAGGCTCTGGGTTCGATCCATAGCACTGCAAAAAATAAATAAATAAAAACAGCTGAGTGTCACCTAGGGAATGGTAAAGGTGAGAGCGAAGACTTCCCAGCGGACAGCAGTGATGAACTGGCTACAAAGCACAGAGAGCCAGAAAGGAGCAAATGTGAGCCTGGCTAGCATGCCGATCTCTAGGACTGCTGCAGATGCCTAAGATTCCAGGCCTCCTCCTCCTCCTCCTCTTCCTGCTCCTCGTTTCATTTTTTTTTTTTTTTTTTTTTTTTTTTTTTTTGTCTTTTTGAGACAGGGTCTCACTATGCAGTTCAGCCTGGCTTTGAGCTCACTTTGTAGCCCAGGCTGGCCTCGAATCCGCAACGATCCTCCTGCCTCAGCCTCCCCAGTGCTGGGACTACGGCGTGCACCACCATACTTGGCTATTCTTCCTCTTCTTCTTCTCCTCCTCCCCTCTCTGTCTCCTCCCTGCTCTCCTTTTTCCTCTTCCTCCTCTTCTCCCCTCCTCTTCCTCCTTTTTTCTTCCAGTAGTGGGTTTTGAGCCCAGAAGCTATATCACAGCCATTTTATTTTTTATTTTTTTATTTTTATTTTTTTTAATCCTAGCCATTTTTAAAAATTTTGTATTTCACTTTGAGACAGGGTCTCAGTGAATCACTAAATTGCCCAGGCTGGACTTAAATTTCCAATCCACCTGCCTCAGCCTCCCACAGTGCTTGGATTACGGGTGTGTGCCACCATACCCACTTTGCCTTGGGCTCCTTTGCACCTGCTCATGGCAGGCAAACGTTAGACTTCATATAGACTCTTACTGAGCCTTGCCCTCCACCACGCTGGAGACCTGGGGTGATTATTCATTTTACAGGAGAGGAAATGGGCTTAGCGCCAACTCCCATGGCCCTGCCCCAAAGGCTAAGCTTGTGTTTGCCCTGCCTGCCAGAGCTGCCTCTGAGCTTCCTCTCCCAGCCTCTGTCTACAGACAGTTCAGTGCTACCAGTACTGAGGAGACAGTGCTCATGGGACTAGCAAGTGAGGGTGGAGGGAGCTGCTAAAGTGCAGCAGCGGCCCTGGCAAAACCCAGACTCAAGGCCCCTGGCGCTGGAAAAGACAGCAGTGGCCTGGCCAGCAACAGCCTGTACAGAAAAAGCGCAAGTGCCGTTGGCGTGCACAGCATCTCAGCTCTATTCCTGCAGCTCTTTCCTTTTTAAGACAGCAGCTGAGCAGATGCTGGACGCTCCAGCGGCACAATCAGCGCGCAGTACTTATAGACAGCGGCCGGAGGCACCCAAAGGTGGGATGCAACAGAGGGGCCCAGAGGTTGTCCTGGGGGAGGTGGCTGCCACACAGACAAGCTCTGAGGGTCTTTGGTGGGCATGGAGCACAGGAAGACTCTACCCTGGGCACCCTTCAGGCCTGGGAGGACACAGACATGCAGGAGCAGTGACTTAGGCCCCCTGAACCCATTCCTTTTGGGATGTCCTCAAAAGTGTTGCTGCTCCATTCCCGACTCTGAGGAGCACCAGAGCTGCTGAGCATGTCTTCGAGCAAGCAAGGAGTGGGGTCCGGGAGAGTCCCCCACCCCACCCTGCCTAGGTGCGGAAGCGGGCAGGCCTTGGTGAAGTTTGACTGTGTCAGCATGGATGTAGCAAAACACTTTACCACAAAGGTTTGCAGAACGTTGGCCTAGGGTGTCAGTGACCCACCCGGACCTCCTAACCTGAGGGTGGCTAGGGGCCTCCACCCAAGCCTTTTTTGTTTTTTAATGTAGAGTCTCACTATGTTGCTCAGGCTGGCCTTGAACTGCTAAGCTCAGGTGATTCTTTTGCCTCAGCCTCCCAAATAGCTATACATACATCATAGGGACTATATATACGTCACCACACTCTGCTAACTTCCAGGCTTGCTTTTTTTTTTTTTTTTTAAACACAGGCGTGTGCTACCACACCTGGGCCACTGCCAGGCATTTTGATTGCCTCCTTTGGGTCTTGAGGAAAACGAATGGTGACGGGAGACAAGGGAGGTCATAGCTCAGAGTTTGGTCTCAGAGAGAGACTACTTCAATGGGCTTGTGGCAAGGAAGGCGGGGCTGCTGGGGTGCTCTTGTAGCCCACTGCCCAGGTCTGGTGCCATCTGTGCAGAAATGGCAGTGACACATCCCTTCTTGCGACTGGCTGCACATGGCAAAGGCTTGCAGCAAGGAAGAGCGTGGGGTGGGCAGATTCTGCTATAGTAAAGATGGCCGCTTCCCCTGCTATGAGGAAGGGAGGTGGGCGTCCCTCGAGGGGCACACGGCACCAATGGGCACAGGTAGGCCGCATGGTCAGCTCCAGTTGGCTGAGAGAGGCCATCTCAGTGCCTGGGACCCCTAGGGAGCAGAATGCTGCGGTAGTTTTCTGAGTCTTACTTCCTTATCAGGAATGGCATGTCTTTTCTTCCTTTTTAGAACAGAGAGAGCCAGTGTAGGGTTTGTTTTTAAAGTTTTTGTTCCACTACTGTTTTTCTTTTTTTCTTCTTTTTTTCTGCTGTGCTAGGAATGAATCCAGGACCTTACACATGTGAGGCAAGTGCTGTACTCTTGTGTTTTGTTTTTAATTGTGGTAAAAGATAGAGAATTTATAATTTATCATTCCTAAGTGTACAACTCATTGGAATGTTAAGCCATGACTCCCCAAGAGAACTGTGAAAATAAAAGGGTTTATTGAACCATGGCAGATGCTAGCCAGAAAAAGAAAAGCCAAAGAGCTGGGACAAATTCTCCTAACTCCCAGCACCAGGGCCAGGTAGCAGTTAGGAAATGTCCACTGGACGAGAGCTTTCTTCATAAACTTTAGGGAGGAGCCAAGTGTGGTCATATACACCTATAGTCCCAGCACTCTGGGAGACTGAGGCAGGAGGATTATAAATTCAAGCCCAGCCTGAGCAATTTAGCAAGATGCTGCCTCAAAAAATAAAATAGCTCACCTGTAATCCCAACTCTCAGGAGGCTGAGGAGAGAGAATCACTGAATTTGAGGCCAACCTGGGCTACATAGTGAGTTTAAGGACAGCCTAAACAACACAGTGAGACCCTGACTCAAAAAACAAACAGTCTGGGTGTGGTGGTGCACACCTGTAATCCCAGCACTTGGGAAGCTGAGGCAGGAGAATTGTTGCAAGTTCAAGGCCAGCCTGGGCTACAAAGTGAGCTCAAGG